CCTCCTCCTCCTCCTTCTCCACCACCACCACCTCCTCCTCCACCACCACTTCTCCTCTTTCTCCACCACCACCACCTCCTCCTCCTCCTCCACCACCACCTCTTCTACCTCCTCCTCCTTCTCCACCCCAACCTCTCCTTCTCCACCACCTCCCCTCCGACCCCTTCCTTCACACACCTCCTCCTCCTTCTCCACCACCACCACCACCTCCTCCTCTCCTCCCACTCTCCTCCTACTCCTCCTCCTTCTCCACCACCACCACCTCCTCCTTCTCCTCCCCCCCCACCACCACCTCCTCCTCCTCCTCCACCACCAACCCCACCTCCTCCTCCTCCTCACCACCACCACCACCCCCCTCCTCCTCCTCCACACCACCCACCACCTCCTCCTCCCACCCACCTCCTCCTCCCACCCACTCCTCTCTCCTCCTCCACCACCACACCACCACCCTCCACCCACCACCTCCTCCTCCTCCTCCACCACCACCACCACCACCTCCACCTCCTCCTCCTCTCACCACCACCTCCTCCTCCTCCACCACTCCTCCACCACCACAACCACCCACCTCCTCCTCCCTCCTTCCTCCTTCTCCACCACTTCCTCCTTCTCCACCACCACCACCTCCTCCTTCTCTCACCACCTCCTCCTTCTCCTCCACCCCTCCTCCTCCTCCACTTCCCGCTCGCCTTCGCATCACTCACCTCCTGTCCTAACAGATGCTCTTCTCTCCACTTCGTCAATTTTTCTTTTTGCTTCCCTGTCAGCTACTTATTCCTTTTCGTCACCCTTGATATTCTGTCTATCTCTACTACTCTTGTTCTTTTTTCCCTCCTCCTCCCCATTCTCTCTCTCTTTCTTTCTCTCTCTCTCCTTTTGTGTGTGGTGTGTGTGTGTGTGTGTGTGTGTGTGTGTGTGTGTGTGTGTGATGTGAGTGTGAGTGTGTGTGTGTGTGTGTGTGTGGTTGTGTGTTGTGTGTGTGTGTGTGTGTGTGTGTGTGTGTGTGTGTGTGTGTGTGTGTGTGTGTGTGTGTGTGTGTGTGTGTGTGTGTGTGTGCGTGGGGTCCGTCTGCTTAAGCCCCGCATTTTGTCGCCCCCCCCCCCCCAAGGTGCCCTCCCCCTAGGTTGTGTGCCCGTATGCCCCACAAAACTATATTTTCTATTTCCTTCCTTCTTCCCTTCCCTTCCCTTTCCCCTCCACAATGCCCATATTCCCCCTTTCTCTGTGCCAAATATTCTTTCTTTTTTTCAATCGTGTCCATACCCTACGCCCTGCCTCTGGAACTTTACCCACACACTCTTCTATACCCCTTATACCCCCTTTTCCAATCTGCTCATACCACCCCATACCCACTTCCTTACCTTCGCAATGCCCATACTCTTTCTTTCTCCGTGCCCACACTCCATACGTCCATAATCGTTTTCATTCGCTCTATACCCATACTTCTGTTCCATTCTGCCTAAAATCTATACCCTCTCTTCTACTCTGCCCACAACCCATACCCTGTCCTAATCTGCCCACTATTCTTACCCCTTCCGCTATTCTGCCCACATACCTACACCCCCTCTCCTACTTTGCCCACAACTCATACCCCTGTTCTAATGTGCCCATATGCCCATACCCCTTCTCCTACAATACCTACAACCCATACCCCCTGTTTTATGCCTACATACCCATAACCCCTCTCCTACAATGCCCCCAAACCATACCCCCTCTCCTATAATGCCTAAAACCCATACCTCCTGTTCTATGCCCACATACCCATACCTCCTCACCTACAATGCTCACAACCCATACCCCCTCTTCTCCAATGCCTACAACCCATACCCCCTCTTCTACAATGCCTACAACCCATATCCCCTGTTCTATGCCCACATACCCATACCACCCTCTTCCCAATACCTATGCCCCACCATGCCCACATACCCATACCCTCTGTTCTATGCCCACATACCCATACCTCCTCTCCTGCAATGCTTACAACCCATACCCCCTCTCCTACAATGCCCACAACACATGCCCTCTGCTCCACTGTGCCCACATACCCATATACATCCTCTCTCCCACTCTATCCGCACCCCCATATACCCACTTCCACCCTCTCCCCCATATACCCTCTTCCACCCCTTCCTACCCCCCCCCCCCCCAACCCCCTGCTTCTGTCTCTGACGCACAATGAATCGTGACGTCATTTCCTCCACGTAACAGTGTTGCCAGATGCCCCTCTTTCGTCGCCTCGAGAAATATCCCTTTCTATTCTTATTTTCTTCTTCTGTTGGATACTCAAAGATCAAAAATACGAACCCAGGAAAGCCACAATGACAGCCAACCATCGACAAGAAAAGAGAGAAAATCATATCAAAGACAAAAGAGAAAGGTCACGGAGATGTTTCTTGACCTGACTCCCGACAACCTCGGCGCGGGCATGACTGAGCACGTGACTTGGCGCTGCTCTCGTCTGTATGAATGTCGATCATAATTATCTGTCTTATGTCGCCTTCCTGCGTTCACCGCCTCCACGAGAACTGAAAGGATGGAGACAAAAGACGCTTTTCGCTTCGCTTTTGTTATTTGTTTGTCTTGTCTTAATTTTATTTTTTTTAATTATTATTTATTCATCGACTTTTGGTCTTTCGTTCCTGTTTCGGTGCATGCTGTTGCTGCGGATCGGCTATGCGCATTTCAAGATTCATTTTTTTTTTTTCGTAAATTCAGCGACATTCGATTCCTCTGTGAGATTCAATTCTCTATACATTCGTGTCAATGGCTTCTCCAAATGACAAACTCTTAGAATCGAACAACTTTTTTAATAAACCATCACGCGGTAACATAACATATTTCGCTCAGCTATCATCCGCCAGAAACCATGCATTTTAAACGTAAATATATCTTTTAATATACAGCTCTTTCAGTTATAAAATAAACAATTGCCTGTCCGATAGCAAATAAAACAAATATTGAGAAGGAGAAAGACTGGAATTTTAGAGCAACAAGAAATATTCCAAAAAAAAAAATCTTTCAATTCAAAAAAAAAAAAAAAAAAAAAAGGAAAAAAAGGAAAAAAAAAGTAATTTGGAAACGGCCCATTAAACGCAAGCACATAATGTAATTACACAATCAAACTTCCTCCTTCAAATCTAATGCAAAGCCAACATCAAAACACAATTGATATTTGGCAATTAAACTAATATTTAAAAACCATATAAGGAAATATAAAATAATATCGCTATCTCTTAATATGAGACTGAAAGAAAACAACAACAAAAAATACTCACAGTTCTCCCACCAGCAGGTGTACAGTTATTGTCTTTCGCTTTAATTATGAACGTTGATGATGTCTACCTCTCCTCTGTGTGTGTCTGTGTCTGTCTGTCTGTAGGTCTGTCTCTGCTCCCCCCTTCTCTCTCTATTTTGAGTGTGTCTGTCAGTCTGTCTACCCACACTGTCTGTCTGTCTGTCTCTCACCTCTCTCTCTTCGTATACACACATGCACACACATACAGACACACACACACACAAAGACACACACACACACACACACACACACACACACACACACACACACACACACACACACACACACACACACACACACACACACACACACACACACACACACACACACACACACACACACACACACACACACACACACACACACACACACACACACACACACACACACACACACACATAACACGCACTACCCAAACAAACAAGCACAACTCACGCAATTAACGTACGTGCACTCACCATTGCACAAACGCGCATTGCTTTAATATCATCTAAATAGAATCGCCAATTGAATAAGATCACCCCCCCCCTCCCCCACTTTCCCACCCATTTGATTATCAACAAGGACGATGCATTTGCTTGTTTCTGCATAAAAATCACCCTTCAGAATTCACTTGCGTATAGTTTGTCATCCGGCACTAATGTCTTACGAATAACACTTTCATCATTTTTTTTTTTTTATCCTGAGATGTCTCTCGATTATCAGCATAATTGAATAATTAAGTCAGGTTGCGATCAAATGAACCCTTTCGATATACAACGATTTAATCCTTTCTGAAGTGGGTCATATCGTCGCGTTTTTGGAATCGATATGATAAACAACTGAGGCTTTATGTCACGAAAATACGAAGCTCACATTCGGTATTGCTGTCCATCCACTGTACCAAACATACACTGATTGAACACTGCCGCTGTCCCTTGTACCGATGCATTCATAGAAAACGTGATGTGGTTCATGGGGGAACTATACTAGGTTCTTGGGGTATTGGCTGCAGGGGTAAGAGGGTCGGTAGGAGTTACTCACTCTTCATGTGGGATATTGTCTTAATTTTCTTTTCATCTGTTTATTTATTCAAATTTGTCTAAGGAAGATTATGTAGTATTTTGTCTTTTTAGTGGGTGGCCCATACCAGGAACTAATCAGTGCAAGGGTTGTGGGATGTATAGCCTCCTGCATGCACACAGGCACTAAAACAAACGAAAACAAACCGAAAAAGTGCAGGCTTAAAAATAAAATTTTCATAAATCTCTCTTTTTTTTTAAATAATACTCCATTGCATACATGCAAAAACTTATGAACTCAAAAGAACTGTAACCATGTAACTTACACACAGCACTTTGAAAACTAAAAGTTGCTCATTAATCTATAGACATAAGATTGAATAATAATTCAATCATATTGCTGCTTGCATGAGCTGTAAATTGATTCCATATTCTAGTGACTTTATAATACAGTAATAATAACCTCACTGGTCTGTACTAACCACAATCTTTATTCCTGCTATTTTATGTAAATTCAATTCAATTTTCTCATCAGGCTTTTTTTTTCACCATAATAAATTTAATTATTTCATTGCTACATATCCTAGCAAAACTATAACAAAATTACTATATCATTTTCCTGTAATGTGCAGTGAGAGAATTTTTTTTCTACCTGTCTGAGGATCATTCATAGTTCAGTTCTTTACATTGGATTATAGAGGAAACGATTTTCACGCGTATGTTTTATTGGAAAATTTGCATCATTACAAAAGACATGCTATAACTATGCTTTTTCTCTTGAACACATTTACAAGATCTATTTTACCCAAATACCACTGATACACACCTCACACACTTACATCTCACCAAATCAAAATGCTAGCAAGACATAAAAGAAAATATTTTCCACACAAAAATTGGCCTATTATTCCTGCTACAACTAATTTATGCTAGATTTTAATATCCACCATATTTTTTTTAATAGTGTCAACTGCCAAAGATGCATAGACAAGTTCAGATCCTTGCAAGACTCAAAATGTATTATCAAAAAATTGGATTATTACAAAAGACATGCTATAATTATGAATTTTTCGCCTGAACTCATTATGTTCACTTAGAAACCATATCTATTTTACCACAATAACACCGGTTCACACTGCTCAAGCTAATTAACATACATCACTAATATGCACCTGGTTTGTTAATAATGACAATTGCCAAAAATGCATATTCAAGTTTGAATCCCTGAAACAGAAGAGCAACAGCTACAACTATCACCTCCAGGCATAACATGTACATTTGCCACAAAAGCAGATACAACAAGGCTGGCACGAAGAGTGCATTAAATATTACTGGCAGTAGTACGGATGTAATTCTTTCTGTTACGTTCCCCTTCTTCCCCATATAAATACGTACAAATTCTGCGGCCTAAAGGAACGGGAGAAGGAACACATCCAACAGGAGACGGGAGGACCATCTTACCACACTATTACTGACACACACTTTACAAACACATCTCTTCAAATCCAAATGCTGGCAAGACAAAAGAAAAATATCTTCCACATAAAAAAAGTGGAATCCTATCCCAGTTGAAACTAGTTTACACTTAGCACTAATATCCACCAGATTTATTAATAGTGACAATTGCTAAAAATGCAAAAACAAGTTCGAATCCCTGAAACACAAGTGCAACAGCTATAAGGATCACCTCCAGGCGTAACACGTATGTTTGCCACAAAAGCAGATATAACAAGGCTAGCACAGAGGGAGCGCTAAAGATCACTGACAGCAGTACCGATATAATTCTTTCTGTCAGGTTGCCTTTCTTCCCCATGAAAATACGTACAGATTCCGTGCCGCAGAGGAACAGGAGAAGGAACACTTCTGCAACAACATTTCCAGCAGGATAAGGCAGGACCAAGGTCTTGAATATCAGTAACAAAACTTCCAGAATCAAAAAAGCTGCGATGTACCAGCCATTTAAGTACAGCAGTATCTGGTACGGCAGACTCGACTGACTCTCCATAATCTGAAAAAAATGTAAAAAATATAGGTAAAGGTCAAAGTAGATATAATCAACAATACACATACATATATACATACATAATATATATATATATATATATATATATATATATATATATATATATATATATATATATATATATATATATAATATATATATATATATATATATATATATATATAATATATATATATATATATATATATATATATATATATATATATATATATATATATATATATATATATATATATATATATATATATATATATATATATATATATATATATATATATATATATACATATGCACACACACACACACACACACACACGTGCGTGTGTGCATGTGTATGTATATATACATATATACATCCTTTCAGTGCAGGTCTTACACCTTAGGAAGTAGAGAAAAGAAGGCATTGGAGAGAAGAAAAGACCATGTAAAATTGGTTGAGTGAAATCCTGAGGTTCTCCCCAACATTGGGCCTCATTCTCTGTCTCCTATGCACCTTAAGACAATAACCGACTGTGATAAGGAATTGTGGTTTTACTGTTACATTGCAATTACCTTGTGTTATTCTAGAATGTTCTGCATTTCTTTAGTGATTATTACATTAACCATGGTAATAATAATATCAATTAGGTAAAAGATAATTCATCCTGAGTGGTTGCAACTGAAACTACACCACAAAAAAAAAAAAAAAGAGAGAGAGAGAGAGAGAGAGAGAGAGAGAGAGAGAGAGAGAGAGAGAGAGAGAGAGAGAGAGAGAGAGAGAGAGAGAGAGAGAGAGAGAGAGAGAGAGAGAGAAACTTACTATTAATTAGGTCGTCTTGGTCTGGGATTATAGCCAATCCTCTCTTCAATTATCTCTTGTCGAGTCTTCTGCGGCTCCAGATTAGAACCTCCGTCGAGCTTATCACTATTCTTCTTCGCCTCAGATTCGCCCTTAAGCTTATTATCTAACTCCTGAAGATCATCAAGCTTGAGTTCTATCTTAGATGGATTTCGTCTGAGCATTATTAATGGCGGGAATTTACGTCTAAGGGCGCGTGTTCTTCTTTCTTCTCTTATAGGGTTTCAGACTATACCTTAGTCTATACTTCCTGGATATTTTTCTGCAGTACTCTGTAGTTTTCAGATTACGCCAATTGTCCTTAATTTTTGTGGGAATATCTTCCTTACCGGTGGTCAATCTGCACCTGCAATAAACAAAGTCAGGTTAAGGTTGTGTATGTTAGTCTACTTTTTTTCATCAATTTCATTATTCCAGTTAGGATAATGTGTAATAAAACTACCTGATTAATTTTGCTCCATGCACCTACTCTCTATAGTACTGTATTTATTCTTTAAATATATTGTTACAAGGATCATATATCAGGAAGATGTTTAAATCTTCTCTAAATTGCATTGTTAATTCTAGGATTTCAATTCTGATATCATGTTTATATCTATCATTTGAATATAACTTTCTAAACTGTATATTACTTCTTACTCCTAATACAAATCCTCTGCCAATTTTCTAAGCTAGGTTTTGCAACATGGAATCCTTTCTGGGTATTTTTTATAAATCAAAGAGTTTAAGAAGGTCCTTTTGTCTTTGCCTGAGTGGGTATTCCAGAATATCATTCTATTCATTTATCAAATTCATTATTTTGTTCAAAGTTGGGGTAACATCTTCGACTGCTTCTGTGAACATTTTGAAATTTGACATTTCTGGGTATAGGTACTATGTATTAGTATTGGGTATAGGTGGTGGGTGTAGGTATCTGTAAGTAATGGGTACTGCAGTTGTCAGCACAAGAAATAATCCGCAAACACTAATAAAAAAAAAGTCCACTCAGTGATCAAAAGTTTCAGCTCTATATTGCCATAGGTGACTTAGGTGAATGGGTCCACATTATAAAGAATTGCGGGCAATTAATTAAAGTATGGACATGCTCGCACATGATAGCCTAGGTCCCCAACTTTACATCACAAAATTTATTAATCAATATCAGGTGCCATGACTGTGTGTGTGTGTGTGTGTGTGTGTGTGTGTGTGTGTGTGTGTGTGTGTGTGTGTGTGTGTGTGTGTGTGTGTGTGTGTGTGTTCGTGTGCGCGTGTGATTTCTACGATCTTTTACCTTCATTTGTGACATTACCATTCATGTCTGCAGATTATTTCTTGTATCAACAATTGCATCTTTTTGCCCTCTAAAAGAATATCATATTCAATTTGCCCTAACTTTGTGCTTCCATATTGTAAAGATTAACTGAATTAAGGAATTGAAGTTATGGTATTTGTTAATAAGAGTGACACATCCTCTAGAGACAAAGTCCCAAAACCATTCTATCTATATCCTTTATTTGCCCTTTGTGCCAACTGCCAGAACAATTTTGTTAGAGAAAATACTTGTGACACATGCCTTCAGTGTGGAGGGTATACACAAGCTGTGGCTCGGAATTATAGAAAACAAACTAATATAAAATGTGAGATTAAGAACTCTGGCTGTGTGAGGGCAGTAATGTTAATTATTATCCTCTACCCTAAAGCCCCCCTAAAAATGTTATTTTGTACGTTTTTCCTTGCAAAAATCGAAATCAGCAACATTTGAATCTCTATGTTAGAACAAATCTATACGTGATGTTATTTTTTATGTAAAACACACAAATAGCAAAAACATCATCTGCAGACCAAACACCAGAATGACCATCTTCCACCCCAAGCACCCTCAAAATGTTATTTTGGCATTTTTTCCTTACAAAAAATTAAAAATTTAAGAACAAATGACAATCTTGACATTAATTTTCATGGGGTGGAAGACAGTAATTCTGGTGTCTGGTCTGCAGATGGTGTTTCAGCAATGTGTACGTGTCAGATAAAAAATAATGTTGTCAAGATTATATGCTCTTATACAAGGTTGTTGCTGATTTAGTTTTATGTAAGAAAGAGTAATAATAATAATAATAATAATAATAATAATAATAATAATAGGACAATAACACTTTGTGGGTGCTTTAGTGTGGAAGACTGTAATTCTGGTTACTTGTCTCCACACAGTATTTGTTCTTCAATATGGGCTTTTTAATGTTGCTGAAACTGATTCTGCCGAGGGAAAACTTGCAAAATAACATTTTGAGGTGGGTGCTGGTGGAAGACGGTAATTAGCATGATCCATGTGAGGGTGTTATGGCTTTAGTCTCCAAACGGTTATGTGAAGCACATATTTTCTTCATCTCGCAATAAGTACAAGGCCACATCAGCTGTAACCATGATGCTTATGCTGTGTTCAGGACTCCTCGTCCTACTCATCCAGAGAAGTTGGACAAGATGTTTTGACCATTCTGAACCTCTATTTTCTCGTCCTAGACAAATTATCCATCTTGTCCATCTTGCCCTCCTTCGAAGCTGGGCGAGAAGGACAAGATGACGTCACAATAGTTTTTGTATATAAACAATGACAGTTGCAGGCAACCACAAGATACTGATGGGTACTTCTAGGGTCATTTATTGATGTTATCAAAGAACATCTATGAATCTATCAGTTGCAGGTAAGGTAAATATGCATCAAAGGAGTTACAAAACCTATGCAGCATGTAAAATAAAGACACTGGTATAATAAAAGCGTGAATGTTTACTTTTGAGCTGGTTGCATTCTGAGGTTTTGAATGCAGCCTCGTTGTCCTGCTGGTCCGGACAAGTTTTCTGGATGAGCAAGATGAGGAGTTCCAAACACAGCATTATGGATTTATTTCTTATGCTCTAAAAGATGGCTGTGTCCATTTCCCACTTTCTCTGTGGGTCACTCTCAGTCACATCAACCAAAGTTATTGAGTCTGCTGATGGTTAATATAAGTATTACCTTTCTGATGCGAACTTTCTTGTGTATTGGCTTCAATCTTGTCATTCATAAAAACTGCAGTAAAGGGTCTTTGGGGCTACACTTTCACTGTTTTTACGTCTTCTGTTATTCAGGGTTTCATTGTCCACTGGCTTGGGTGTGCCAGGGCTCTCACCTGGGTCAGGCTTGATTATATCGTCCATAGATTCACAATACACAACACTTTATTTTGCGTTTGTCGGAATAAAGTACCCGCTCTGTGACGCTCCGTTGGGAAATTCTGCGGGAGATGGCTATGAATTCCTTCTAATCCTTCTTTTCCTCTCTTCCTTCTCTTACAGGGTTTTAGACTGTGCTTTGTCTACATTTCCTGTTTCTTTTTTCCTTTTTCTCTTCTCTATTCGGCGGCAATTTGTCCGGCAGGTGGATCAGGTTGCGTCTGCTGTCCTCTTGAAGAACATTGGAATCCACACGATGTAAACACCACGATCGTCGACCAATCAGAGAAAGGTTTACATCGAGGGGGAAAATGTCGACCAATCAGGGAAGATCTCACTGAATTGAGTCTAGGGAGGCAATATGCAAAGTCTCATCTTGAGAATATGTAAATGTTTACGTAGATATATATCTATATATCTATTTTAGATATATATTATGGACATTTTACTGTACATCCACGTAGATCAAACATTGCACAGAAGTCACAGAACATATATGCATCCACACACACACACACACACACACACACACACACACACACACACACACACGCACACACGCACACGCACACACACGCACACGCACACGCACACGCACACACACCACACGCACACACACACACACACACACACAACACACACACACACACACACACATGCACATATTTGTGTGTGTTTGCGCATTGAATAAATTTGTATGTATATTTATGTAACTATCGTCTATTTTTTTTTTTTTTTTTTTTTTTTTTTTGCTTTGCTTGGTAACATGTTGGTACCAATTTTATGCGTTAATTTCTTATCATTTAATGTATCATGTTGAACAAATATCCTGTCAAACACATATCTGACTTCAAAAAAAAAAAAAAAAAAATAATAAATAAGATAAAATAAAAAATAAAAAAATAAAAAAATCGCAGTTGATATGTAGGGTGCACAATCTTTTGTGAATAACAGAGAATGAGTTTTAAAATAATTTTGTTAAATTGAGAATTGTTCACTTTACAAATTGCTCTCTATATGTGACCGGGTATAGCAAACTATAATTCATTATGGTAAATTCTCTTTTTTTTATGACAAACTAGCATCTTTTTTTAGCTACCCATATGTTGTTTTATATTTGTATGAAAACCTCATTAAATTCTTTTGTAAATTTTACGTTATATTTACAAACAATCACAAAATGCTAGAAAAACATTTGAGCCCGTTATCTTTAGCCACCATAACTCAGGGGAGCCTCTTTTAGAAAACTTCACTTGACGGATTTACAGATTTCCTGAAGGCCGTGTCACACTAGCACTTTTTCCGTCAATTTTTTTGACAATTTTATTTACCATGAATACAAACATTCTCGAATATAGCTCTTGATTTGACTTTGCTTGGCTGAAAAAGTTGACGGAAAGGTTTTCAGACGGAAACGATCATTATCGTCTGACTGGAAAATCGACAATTCGCTCAAAAATGGACAAAATTTCAGAAAATTGTCAAAAAATTGACGGAAAAAGAGCTAGTGTGACAGTACCTTTAGACAGTGCCACCCCCCCCCCCCCTGGTCCCTGATATTTTGCGTTCGTGAACTATTAACAATGAAAAATATTTACTTTAAATCACAAATCAGTATTAACTGTAAAATATTAACTGTAACTCACAAATTGCTATTGTTAACTATGAAAAATAGTGTCTGTTAATCACAAATTACTATTTACAATTTAAAATAGTTACTGTAAATCACAAATTACTATTAACTGTAAAACAAATATTAAATGTAACTCTCAAATTGCTATTATTAACAATAAAAAACATCATCTGTTAATCACAAATTACTATTAACTTTAGAAATATTAACTGTAACTCACAAATTACTATTATAAAAAATGAAAAAAAAACTTACTAACTGTAGCTCAAAAATTACTATTGTCAA